ACAACAACAACAACAACAACAACACCACCAACAACAACAACAACAACAACAACAACACTCAGTTTACCGTCATGCGCGATGCTTCCACACGAAGCATGCGACTATGATGATTACCATCCACGCAACAGGGGGACTATTGTTCTATAACGGGGCCCGTTATTCTCATTCCCAGATATCCCGCCCAATGAAGTCTTGCAAACACCTCCTCCGAAAATTTCAACCGATCCCGCCTCGAAAGCACGTGCCCGCCAATGGAACCCCAGCGAAGGACAGGATTGCCTTGGTGGGGATGGGGGCTGTCGGCGGTGAGGCAAGGACCTGGCCGTGAATAGAAAGGGAGGAAGTCTCGAGCAGGGCTGCTGTTGTTGGGAGCGGCGCCAATGCTGAAGAAAGTAGGGCGCTAGTCCAGCGTAAAACAAAACGAAACCTCGAGCGGGAACGCTGGTTTTGTTGGGACGGCGGCTTTCGGCGACGAGGAGGAACACCGCCTTGAGCATAAAAGGAGGAGGCATCGAGCGGGAGCCGTGGTTTTGTCGGGACGGGGGCAGTCGGCGGCGAGGAACAGCACCGCCCCGAGGGAAAAAAAGGAAATCTCGAGCGGGAGCGCTGTTCTTGCTGGGAGCGGCACCAATTCAAGAGAGAGTTGGGCGCCAGTCCAGCGTAAAACGGAAGGAAGCCTCGGGCGGGAGCGCTGGTTTTGTCGGGGCGGCAGCTTTCGGCGGCGAGGAGGAACACCGCTTTGAGTAAGAAGGGGAGCTACATCGAGCGGGAGCCGTGGTTTTGTCGGGACGGGGGCTGCTGGCGGCGAGGAACAGCACCGTATTCATGAAAAACGAGGAAATCTCGAGCGGGAGCGCTGTTCTTGCTGGGAGCGGCGCCGATTCAAAAGAGTTCCGGGCGCCACTCCAGCGTAAAACACAAGGAAATCTCGGGCGGGAGCGCTGGTTTTGTCGGGGCGGCGGTTTTCGGCGGCGAAGAGGAGCACCGCCTCGAATAAAAAAGGGAGGAAACCTCGAGCGGGAACGTTGTTTTAGCTCCGGGCGGCGCCGATGAGAGAAACACTAGCGCGCCAGCCCAGGGTAAAACGGAAGGAAGTCTCGAGCGGGAGCGCTGGTTTTGTTAGGACGGCGGCTTTCGGCGGCGAGCAAGAACACCAACCTTCAGTAAAAAAGAAAAAACCCTTGGGCGGGAACGTTGTTGTTGTTTGGGGGCCGGTTTTGGCGGTCCCCCAAACCGCTCGAGCGTTAGCCTCGTTTTCGATGATAACGTGGCCGGCGCCTCGGCGAGAGCGCGAAAGCGCCTTTAAGGCGTTCAAAAATAAAAAAATAAAAAAAAATCATTGTTAGCTCTCAACAGCAAGAACAACACCAACAACAACAATCATTATAAGACTGTTCTTTCTTACTTGCCCGTGTGTCATTCAAAACGAGTTCCCCACACCCTCGATACCCGCCCTTTTTGTCTTCGAGCACACCCCTCTTGGGGGGGATTATTTCTCTTTGCGGGGGGCGGCGGGCTTAGACAGGCGGGCAAACCTGAACGGGCGGACACTCATTCGTGGGCTTACATGTGCCCGCCATTGGAATTGGTGCGGGCCCTGCAAGAAAAGGAGGGGGAGAACGAGGGAGAGTGGGAGGAAGGGAGGGGGAGGGACGAACGAAAAGGGGAAACGCCAGGAGAGAAGGAGCGAAGAGGGGCGCGGTTGATTAGAGGCAGAGAGAGAAAGAGAGAGAGAGAGAAGAGAGAGAGAGAGGGGAAAGAGAGAGAGAGAGAGAAAGGAAGAGGGAGGGAGGAGGCAAGAGAGGGGAGGGAGAAGGGAGGAGGGAGAGGAGGGAGAGGGGATATGGCGAGAGCGCGATTCCTGAGTCAATTGTAGCGGCGTCCTTGGCGCAGCGTGTTTCCTGAGCGTCGAAAGCGCGATTTCTGAATAAATTGCATGGGAGTCACAAGCGAAAGCGCAATTCCTGTATAACATATGTGGGGCTCTCTGGCGGGAGAGGGGCTCTTGAATAATTTGTGAGGAAGTCTTGATTGAATCGCGAGGAAGTCTCAAGCGGGAGTGCCGTTCCTGGGTAAATTGTGAGGAAGTCTCACATGGGGGCGGGGGTCTTGACTAAATTGCGAGGAGGTCACAAGCGGGAGCGCCCATCCTGAGTAAATTGTGAGGAAGTCTCAGGAGCGGGGGTCCAGAGTAAATTTGGAAGAAGTCTGAAGCGGGAACCGGTGTTGTTGTAATCCGGGGGGCCAGGGGGCCAGTTTGAGCACCAAGACTTCCCCTGTCAAAAAACAAGATGCGAGCGTCGAGGGGCACACTTTGATAGAGAAACAACAGCATGCACCGGTGAGGCGGGACCAACAATATTTATTCTTCAGCAGTGAAAGTTCAACGACAGCAAGAACAACACCAACAACAACAACAATCATTATAAGACTGTTCTTTCTTACTTGCCCGTGTGTCATTCAAAACGAGTTCCCCACACCCTCGATACCCGCCCTTTTTGTCTTCGAGCACACTCCTTTTGGGGGGATTATTTCTCTTTGCGGGGGGCGGCGGGCTTAGACAGGCGGGCAAACCTGAACGGGCGGACACTCATTCGTGGGCTTACATGTGCCCGCCATTGGAATTGGTGTGGGCCCTGCAAGAAAAGGAGGGGGAGAACGAGGGAGAGTGGGAGGAAGGGAGGGGGAGGGACGAACAAAGAGGGGAAACGCCAGGAGAGAAGGAGCGAAGAGGGGGGCGGTTGATTAGAGGCAGAGAGAGAGAGAGAGAGAAACAAAAAAAACATACATTTAGGAGAAAGAGAGAGAGAGAGAGAGAAAGAGAGAGAGAGAGAAAGATAGGTAGAGAAAAGAAGAAAGAGAGAGAGACAGAGGGGAGAGAGAGAGAGAGAGAGAGAGAGACAGAGACAGAGAAAAGAAAGAGGGAGGGAAGAGGCAGGAGTGGGGAGGGAGAAACGAGGAGGGAGAGGAGGGAGAGGGGATAGGGCAGAGGGGCATACGGATGAGGGAAGAGAGGAAGGAGAGAGAAGGGAGGAGAGGAGGGAGGAGGGAGGAGGAGCAGGAACGTAAGAGCGTGAACGCTCGAGGAAGTCCTAGGCGAAAGCGCCGTTCCTGAAGGAAGTCTCGGGCGGGAGCCCACGACGGGCGGGCGATCCCCTGACGGACGGGTCGGGCGGGTGGGACATTCAAGCGGGATGCCTGAGCATGGCCAGGGCGCGATTACTAAGTAAATTGTAACGGCGTCCTTGGCGCAGCGTGTTTCCTGAGCGTCGAAAACGCGATTTCTAAATTGCATGGTAAGCACAAGCGGGAGCGTAACTCCTGTATAAAATGTGAAGGGTTCTCTGGCGGGAGCGGGGGTCTTGATTACATTGCAAGGAGAACTTAATTGAATTGCGAAGAAGTCTCCAGCGGGAGCGCCGTTCCTGGGTACATTGTGAGGAAGTCTCAGATGGGAGCGTGGGTCCTGATTAAATTGCGAGGAAGTCACAAGCGGGAGCACCGATCCGAAGTAAATTCTGAGGAAGTCTCAGGAGCGGGGGTCCTGAGTAAATTTGGAGGAAGTCTGACGCGGGAGCCGTTGTTGTTGTAATCCGGGGGGGGGCAATGGGCACAGTTTGAGCATCAAGACTTTTCCTGCCAAAGAAACAGGGTGCGAGCGTCGAGGGGCACACTTTGATTGCGAAAAAACAGTATGTACCGGTGAGGGGGGGTCAACAATAATTATTCTTCAGAGATGAGAACTCAACAACAACAACATCAACAACAACAATAACAACAATAACAACAGCAACAACAACAACAACAACAATCATTGTAAGACTGTTGGTTGTTACTGGCGCGCGTATCTTGCATTTTGTATACCCCAACCCTCGATACCCGCCCACGTCGTCTTCGATTGCACCCCCTTTGGGGGGGGAATCTCTCCCTTGTCGGCCAATGACTGAAGTGCGAAGAAGTCTCGAGCGAGAGCGCCGTTCCTGAATTCGGGGGCCTCTCTGGCCAGGGGCTCTCGGATCACCTATGGAGAAATATCGAACGGGAGCCCTTGTCGCCGTGTCCGGGTCTCCACCAACTTGCCTGAATTACGGGACAGTCTTGAGCGAGAGCGCCGTTCCTGAGTTCGGGGGCCTTCTTGGCCAGGGGCTCTCGGAGTAAATCGTGAGGAAGTGTCGAGCAGGAGCCCTTGTCGTCGTGCCTGGGCCTCCGCTTAATTGAATTGCGAGAAGTCTCGAGCGAGAGCGCCGTTCCTGAGTTCGGGGGCATCTTTGGCCAGGGTGTCTAGGGGTAAATTGTGAGGAAGTATCGAACGGGAGCCATTGTTGTCGTAGCTGGGCCTCTAAGGGCCCACATTTAGAGCCAAGCCAACGCTCGAACGGTAGCTTCGTTTTCATAGAAAATGTAGCCAGCGTCGAGGCGAGAGCGCGCGGAACCGTATCCAGAGATCAACAATAATTATTCTCCAGAAACGAATATTCAACAACAACACCAACAACAACAGCAGCAACAGCAACAACAACAACAGCAACAGCAACAGCAACAGCAACAACAACAACGATAACAACAGCAACATCGACAACAACAACAACAACAACAACAACAACAACACCAACAATAACAACAACAACAACAACAACAACACCAACACCAACAACAACAACAACACCAACAACAACAACAGCAGCAACAACAACGCAACAAACATAATCCTCATCACGGATCCCCACTCCAGCCACGCACCCAGGGACAATGAATGACCGTTCGATCCCCTCACTCGTATATATATATATATATATATATAGTCGTATCCGCCACCCTGCACTAAGCCCAGAGGCACAACTTGGAGTAACCTCAAGTCCTTCGGGTCCTCAGCCCTCAACGATACAGTATTAACAAGTCCATGCCCATTCAAAATCATATTTCAAGGGCTTCCCGCATGCCAGAACAACGGGAGGATGGGCAACAACGTGGGGTATGTTCACACGAATAGGCCCTCGGACATCATATTCTGGGCCAACTCCTTCAAGAACTTGACCAGCTGCTTATGCTCGCTGGTCCAAATGTCCTGGGGCTGCTCATTCTTGATGTAGTCCCGGGAATGCCATAGCACCTGGAGGAGGATGCTGAGCTCATCATTCTCCTCCTACTGATCCTCCTCGCTCCTGCTCCTGCACTCCCTGCTTCTCTTGCTCTTCATCCAATCCAACTCCTCCCCGGGCTCGCCACTGCGCCTCGACGACGAAGTTCCTCATGATGTCTTCCTCGACTATCTCAAACGCGTGCCGGTTCGGCGCGGAAAGAACCAGCTGCAAATGCTTAGCTTGAGTGGTCAAGACCTTACTGCACGCCTCCGTGGCGTTCTTCAGGCTGTCAATGAGCGTGATAATCTGGCTCCTCCAAGGTCCAATGGGCAGTCAGAGGAGAAAGAGGGGGGAAGATCCCACCAGCCCTCTGGGTCTAGGTGGTCAAACGAAATTCTCTGTCTTCTTCCAAACCACTCTTCCCATCGGGGAGGGGTACTTACACTCCCCATGCACTCCCTGAGGTTTTTTTCGGCGGGGGCCTCGAGGTGTCAGAGGGTCCTTTTTCGCCCAAGATGGCTCCAAGAGGGCCTCCGATGCTCCAAGATGGCCTCCAAGGTGGCTCAAGATAGCGCAAACTGACCTCCAACACGGCTCCAAGAAACAAAACGAGGGCCACAAGACTCGGAGCCCCTTCGGGACCCCCCCAAGAAGCCCAAACCCTTCAACAACCTAAGGAAAACCAATGATGCTTGCATTCTTGCCTTTTCGCTTGCGATGCGCGTGTAAGGCCTCAAGATGGCCCCAACATGGCCCCAAAAAAGGCCTCCAGAGGGGCCGAAGAGGCCCCCCCGACGGACCCGAGAGCGCTCAAGATCGCCACAACAGGAACCTAGGAGGCGATTTGAGGGCCCCAGATGGGAGGCAAATGTCGGCCCCCCCTCCTTTGACCGATGGCCTCCAATATTGCCTCACGAGGCCCTCCAGGGCTCCCAAGGGACGGCCCCAAGAGGGCCGCAAGCGATCTCCAGGAGGGCCCCCAGACGGCCCCAAGAGCTTCCAAGAGCGCCCCAAGGGCGTCCCACGAGGGCCCCAAGAGGCAGTTCGCCTCCTGCTCCTCCTCCTCCTCCTCCTCCTCCTCCTCCTCCTCATCCGCCTTCTCCGCCTTCTCCTCCTCCTCCTCCTCCTCCTCCTCCTCCTCCTCCTCCTCCTCCTCCTCCTCCTCCTCCTCTCGTCCCCCCGCGGGCCCCAGGGATGGCCCGAAGAGGCTCTTCAAGGTCACCCCCTTACTCCTAGAGCCCAGAGGTCTCTATGTTCATCCTGGCTACCCGCTGTTTGTTTAACTGTATGTGTCACTTCGCCCCTTTCCGCGTCAACTCCCATGGGCAACGTTTCTGAACGGGCTGGTGCGGATACGCGAACCGCGAAGACTTGGAAGGGGTTGTTCCCAAACTCTCATCAAGTTCCTGTCCAGATTCCCGGTGGACACCATCTGCTTCTCCTGCCTCAGGACCGTCGCCGCTTCGCGTGGGATGGTTGCCTGCGGGCGCTCCAAATCGATGGTCACACCCCACGGGAAGTCTCTCCTACGGGGCCCAAAAGATACGCACACACCGCCACTGCCCGTGTCCCCCGCCCCCCGCCCACCCTCCTCGCCATCTCCTGTTTCCCAAGAGAGGAAGAAAGAGGGACACCATACAGGCGGGAGCCCAGGGTTCACAGCGGGTTCTGAAAGGCTTGCTCTTGCTTGTCAATTTCCCCTGGGCGCCCAGATAGATTGTCTCAACTCCTCGTTCGGGGATCCCTGGGAGGCGCGTTGACCGCAATACTGGCGTAGAGTTGTGAAGCCCCAGATCTCCCGAACTGCTCGGGGGTCCAGGTGTTCTTCATGGCCTGGTCGTCTCCAATCTTCAGCCCCACGGAGGTAATCGTCTCAACGCCAGTGCATCCCAGCGCGGTGTTGGCATGGATCTCCTCTAGGCGAAGGAAAAGAGGAGGAACAGCGAACGCCGATGGCGCTCCGCGCGTGCGCCCCTTGAGGTCGCCAGTCCAGAGAAAAGAAAGGAGAGGACAAGACTACGAGTCAATGGGGGACAGCGGGCTCGAGAGGAAAACAAACAAGGGAGAAGGAGGAGGAGGAGGAGGAGGAGGAGGAGGAGGAGGAGGAGGAGGAGAGGGAGGAGGACAAGTGCACAAGAGAGAAACGAGCAAGAGGTCAGGGGTGACGGGGAGAGGGAGGAGAAGAGGGGAAGAACCACGAGGGAGAAAAAATGAGGAGGCGGGGGAGGAGCGCATGCGGGAGAACAAGAGGAAGGAGTGCTATGCATAGATATGTAAACCAATCTGGATATCTGCAGCGGGAGAGAGAGAGAGAGAGAGAGAAAGCGAGATAGAGAACGAGCGAGAGAGAGAGAGAGAGAAGCACGAAACAAGCAAACAACGAGAAAGAGGAAACAAGCCCAAACACAATTCAAAAACA